AATTTATGCGGTTTCTAGTAGCAATAAATGCGGTAGCCAAATCATCACCAAATACGCTAGCTTGACGTCCTAATATCCCGCAAAAATAAAAAACCAAAACTTTCGCGGGCGAAACTCACCAGCAAGAAAAGTTATCGGATAAAACTTTTCGGATATAGTTTCACGTGACTGAATCCCACCTAGGACTAAAAACTTGAAAACTCTCACAAATTTTTTCCCTAAATGAAAATCAGGCAAAAAAAACAGCTCGAAAAATTGAAAATATTTTGTAAACCATACATAGAGCTAAGATCAAAGTCGCAGCTTAAATAATTATGTTCTAAAGCAAAAGTAAAACTAAAAACACAAGTTTAAACAAGAAATGCTTGCAAGCTTCTGAATTTTTTTCTTGTTCATTTTCGTTCATCCTTAAGAATTTTTAGAACACAGAAAACAAACCTGGCTGGCTCTGTCGTGAGTAGAAGTTATGAAGTTTCAGCCAAGCAAGTTAAGATGTAAGCTACGAGACGCAGCCACGATCGGAAGTAGAAACTGCTCCTATCCCTGGTTAAATAAGTCGAGCAAAATTTTTTCAAAAGTACTTCTATACGAGAATCCGTAATTTGAGCCCAGCAAACTTATATAAAAGATTATGGCATTCTGTCAAAAATAACTAAGCGCAAATTAAACGTAGTCGGGCGCAAACAAAGATGGAATTGAACTTTAAATAAATTAAATGGTGCGTTTGCCAAACTGATTGTTGATTACGACTATGGGCCAAAAAAAAACATTCGAAAAAAATTCAATATGAAACACGAAGACATTGAAAAGCAGTATAACTTTGATATAACATGAAAAAATTGATGCCCTGAGAATAAATTAGAACAAGGATAGCAAGGTTACTGGGCAATAACATAGAATGTTCCGACCATAGTCTTAAAAGTTTTGTGTGGTGGTATAGTAAGATCTGAACAAAAAAAAGTAGAGACTAGATATATTCGACAGTCATATTCAATTATGTCAATTGCAAAACCATTTCTGTAGAAAATTTACTGAAAAAGCGAAAAATTCCAAAAATCGAAAAAAAAACACTGAAAAAACTTTCGATTTTCTGCAGCATTTTTTTTTTGAATTTTTGATGTTTTTGATTCCTAAAGTGGCGCTATAAACAATCAAAAACTAGCTTGAATTTAAAAATAAGTTGTCACCGCTTAACAAAAGCGTAAATAAGGTATTGTAAGCTTGCACGCTCACCTTATTAGATTTCAGCTCACCTTTTTTTCCGACACTGAGAAAGTTTTTCGAACTTTTTTCATGTTCGAATCACAACGGAAAAGGGCTTTGTTATGATATCTTACTCGACACTTTCCAATGATTATTTTCAGTCCCTGATTTTGCGTGGAAAACAAAATTAAAGAAAAAAACACAACCGACTACCAGGGTTCCTCCGCATTTTTGAAATGTTTGGAAGAAAATTAGCTGTATACCAGCAATAGGTTAAAGATGGTCAATCTCCTGTATATTTGCCACTCACCTTAATATTTGTTGTTTGCGTTAAAAAAATTCCTGCTTTTCAAACTGCAACTACGATAAAGTAAATGCGGATTGGGATTGTCCTATTTGTATAGTATCGAGTAATTTCTAGATATCTGCTTTAAAATTTGCGACATCGATTCAAAATCACCGTGAAAACTTTTGAGAGCGTTGCTAGTTCTAGGCTGCTCGAAGTTGTACAATAGTTGAAGTTCCGAGTGTTTTGTCAAATTTTGTCAAACTCTTTAAGCTTTCCGGTTTTCGTAATCAAAAAGTTATCATCATCATAGTAGTTTTGATGTCGTCTGTGACCGACATTGGGATAATATTGGGTGAAATTTTGCAAAACTGCTCTTCATCCGTTTTGAACAGATCGAAGTTTTTGTCCTCCCGATATTGAACGGTATAATTGGTTTCAAATGTCCTTAAGTAGATGTTGAAACTAATCAAAAAAATAACCCATTGATATACGTAGACTCTCTAAATCATTTTGAAAAAATCCGAAAATTAGCTCAAACTTTTATTGGAAGGAAAGTGTATGAAGAAAAAATTTTTTGAGCCTTTCCACTTCCAAAATTTTTTAAACTCACTATCTCTTGCTCTCTCCTTTCTAATGCACGTCCAGCTATGCGTGTTGAAACACTGACAAAATTTGTACAGAATGCTTCAACCACTTAATTTCAAAAAAGTTTCGAATAAAAAGAAATCTTTTGAGAAACATCGAGGACTTTTTAAAACTTTTCTTGTCATTTTTTATGTACCTGTTTTTTTAATTAAATGAAGATTGACACAAAAAAGCTATTAATAGCTAAATTGAAGAACAAATTGTTGTTAGACTACTTTTAGGTGATCATTTTCCAATCAAAATTTGTCTCGTTTTATCTGAAAACAGAACAGAAAGAATTTTTTTGAAACTCAGATATTTTTTGTACATCTGTATATGGATACCACGCGTTACAGCATTCAAGTTTTTTGAATTAATCAGAACTAAGCGAAAGTTCAGTTCATTGTTCAGACTTATATATTAGAGTTCAAAATCACTGTAAATTTAACTCTCGAGGATCAACCGAAAGTTATGCACTATAAACGAACATGTTCAAAAATGTTACCTAAAAGAAATATTATTAAAAAAAATTTTTCCTAGAAATGTGAAGCTTGCTGTCAATAACTTTATATTTTGTGGAAATCTAGAACTCTTTTTTGTTTTTTTTTATCTAATCAATTTGAGGTCTGTCAAAAAAGGCGCAATTTACAGACACTCAAATTAGCCGTAAGAAAAAAGTTACAATTTTTTGATACAGTTAAATGTGAAAACAAAAATTTATTTTTCATGAAGAATGTCCACATGCAGTTTATCTATGGAATTCTTGTCACACAATTTGTTTTTTATGTAAGAAAATCTTAAGCTGTTGTGTTAAACTTATAAAACTAAGCACAAAAACTTAAAGTAAACTTTTATACAACAAAAAATGTTAGTCACGCAATTTCACACTGCGAAAAAGTGCTAGTCGTACAGTTCTCAAACAAGTTTCTGGACGTATGAAATGCTAGCTTCACAAACTGGAACTTGTTTGTCTAGTGGTTTTTGCCAAGCCAGGAATTGTTTAGTTGCATCAAGTTATTAGTGGATAAAACTAACTGTCAGTAGAGATTTAATTAAATTTGTTACAACAAAAATTAGCATAAAATTTTAACCAAAGAGTTCAAAGTGAGTCAAATTTTTCTGAAAAGTACGAACCAACCAGAAAAACTATTTTCGGAAAAAAAAGTTAGCTCGATAGAAAAAACATCAAAAAGACTAATAAGGCTGCAGTGTTGATACATATGCTGCAATGAAACAGGATTAAAGGAATAGCGGAAAAAAATATGAAAAAAAACAGGCAGGGATCCATTATGAAAAAATTACTGTAAGATTAGGCTGTTTTAATCATTAGTATGAGTGCATTTGACTGCAATCCGCTATTATTTTGAAGCATCAGAGAGCATGTGAGTCGAAATTTAACCATAGTGTTTGACGTTACATATAGCTTATGCATAGTTTTGCATAGTTTTTGACGTTGAATGTAGAACTTGCAAGAATCTCGATTGTTTCTAAATGCAACTTGGATTACAATTTCTTGCAAGGCTTCTTAGCAATATTTAGACTCTTCTGACGCCCAGATTGGCAAAAAAATGACAGACATTTACTTTTCATCTAATTTCCCATACTTTGCAATTCGACTCCAAAACGTGCATAAAAATCTTGCGAGATAGATGCAAATTTATCAAGAATCTTGAAAAAAAGGAAGATTCATGTATTCCTTCGAAAAATTTAAGGACAAGACTGTTACAAAAATTGCTTTGCAAAACCCTAAGAATAACGTGGGAAGCTAGATAAAAAGTCTTTTGGAAAAGACAACAAAAAGCATTAGTTGAAATCAATTGTCGACTTTATGTTCCCACTCAAATCAGTTTGAAAATAGATTTTCATATTCTCCGTCAATTTAAAGTCTCAAAAAACCCTGCACTTAGTTCCATGCAAATTCTGAACAAAGTCCTCAATAAAGTTGAGTGTTCGGGCTGAAGTTATGTACATGATCGTCGAAAAATCACAAGATTAAAAAAATGGCCAATTGAATGCTCAAAGAGTCAAAAACAAACATAATGAAGCTCAAAATTTACATAATTTTGTTTTTATCATTTCACTTATTCATTTCGAGTATTTAAAACAATCGAAGAATTTGAGTCATTTTGAAAAAGTTTCTCAAAAAAAGACAGCAAGAAGACAGAGCTAAGCTTTTTGAATGCTGCTCAAAATATTCAACAATTTTACCCTACATCGTCAATTAAATTCCCGCAAGAGTGTTGACTACAGATGTCATTTTTTGATAGCCTTATAGCTTTTCTCTCAAAAAGTTTAGCAGGTTGACAAAAACATTTCATTAAACATAATTTTATGTATTCACTCCTATGTTTTGTTGTCTGAAGATCACTATGGTCACTGGATTCTATAAGACCTATCAAACATAAGAAACAGGATTTAATCATTTTCAAAACGTGTCGAAACAAATAATATTGTAAATCGTTACCCTTCTGAGTTGTTTTTGCTGAGTTTTAACTTGATTAAGAGTGCAAATAATATTAGTCGCGTGATTAACAAAGCAAAACTACTTACAAGTCACTGCATGTGGTTCACAACATCTTATTATAAAATGAAAAAATTTATTAAATATTGCTCGATCAAATTTCAGCTTAACTGACTATAAGAATTCTCATCACATAAAGATTAATATTATCTTATGATCAGATCAACTTAAATTTATTATAATGCTTCGCCTTCAGATGAGAAATGTTCGGAAACTTGTTGGAATAAAAAGTATTTTTTATACCTTAGCTTTTATTTTTTGTACCGAAGCTTTTATTTTGTGGACTATTTTTGGGAACCGTGAACTTCGAATCGATGGCGAAATTAGAAAAGAGGAGTTGTTCGAAACCAACATCTGATTGGTCAATTATCCAGCCAATCACATTCCGACGCCTTTATTTGCATACGAGAACGAAGATCTATGTCGGAGTAACCTCGAAGACCTTGTGCTGATTTTGATTCCGAGCAGAGTTCTCGCATTCGACAAGCGAGTCGTCGTTCGCCATACCTGGACAGATGTGTTGACGTATTCAAGAAGGGCAGTTTGGAACTACAAATTAGTTTCCATGGTAAGCCTAAATAGCTTTTATTCTAAATAGCTGTCAAGCCTAAATAGCTATAACTCATTTCGGTTTTGAAGAGCACTCAAATAACGATGAAAAAAATGTTCAGTAATTTTTTACTGCTTTTCGGACTTAGCGCAGACGTCACGACTCAAGTCTCCACTTAGCTTGACGCAAAAACATGGTGTGACTGCAAAGTTTTGGTCGCGCAATCGACTTTCCGTGACCATATTTGGTCACGAGTTAAGTCACACACCTCGACCCGGGGATCGACAAAACAATTCTAACTCAAATAAAACAATTATGCTTATATTTTAAGCATAGATTTTTATGAAAATCTAGCCGAAATAACGTTTTATTTCGACAGACTTATAGTTTTTGCTTAGATTTACTAGTTGCGTTATACTTTCAAAATAAAAAATATTGTGTGAAAAATGAAAATTTCAAAATAAACAATTGAGTGTCATTTTTCAGGTGTCGCTGCCAGCCAACAAATACGAGCAGCAAATAATCCAAACTGAGAATGAACTCTGGGGCGACATTGTGGTTCTGAACTTGCGAGACAGCTACTACAAACTCACAATTCAGATGTTGATGTCGTTCGAGTGGGTACACAGACACTGTTCTAATTCAAAGATGGTCTATAAGGCTGATGATGACACTTACATCAATTTGGCTATGCTGGAAGAGATCATCAGCAATCGGTTCAAAGGCAATGTTGGAATCAGAAGGGTACGTCTGGAAATTTTTACAAGCATTTTTTTGGCTAAACCACATGTTTCTTTACAAAGAGCTTTGAGTACAACTTTGTACTCAAAAATGAAACCATTTGTTTCAAATTTTTACAATAGCACTAACCTCTGCTCAAAAACTTCTGAACAAAATAGTCGCGAAAAATAATAACTTTCTGTGAACTGCAGCGGAGCCGTAAAAGTTTGTTACATCTGTTTAACGATAATCATTTCTGTAATTTATCTCAACTCGGCATAAATATTTTGTTCTTTTGAAAATAAATTGTAATCTAATTAGATATAGGTTCCAAAGTTTCAGCTGCCCTTGAAGTTCTCTCATTTTTTGTGGTAAAAAATAGTTTAGCTATTGAATACAAATTTCGATTTTCACCTAGCGAAATGTTTTCATACCATCTGAAAAATATTGATACTCAAAGATATTGGTAGTCAATGATAAAAATTGAAAAGATAATTTGGCTCTTTTTCTTCCCCAATCATGTTTGAGGCTACTTTGTCTAATATAGTTCAAAACAAAATAAAAAGCGTGCATTTTATTTTATTTCGTGCTATGAAACATAAGCGAAGGATTGAAATATTTCAAATTGAAGTAGGTCAAGCAAATTGACCTAACTATGGGATACAAGACTTAAAACATATCTCCTTGTAATTCAAATTTTGTTAGAAACCAAAATGGACCAAGTTAACATCCTCTCCCCCAAAGCCGTTTGGGGGATGTTAACTTGGTTCTAAGTTGGCAATTTTCAGCCAATCAGAATCGAGCATTTTACATGCAGCGCTGAGCAAATTTAATGCGAATTAAATGCTGGGGTGAAAGAACTTAACTTGGTCTATCTGGGGGGAGGGGGGGGGGGTTTGTACTATGGGCGTACTTGTGGTAAATGTTTTATACCACTTGAGTAAAATTGACGCCCTGAGCTCAATTTCAGTTTGACATTTCACCTGTGATTATTTTTAATAAAAATTTGGAGTTTCAAAAATTGTCGATTCGACTAATTTGGGACAATAAAAACGCGATATACTGCGTTTGTGAAGACCCTGAGCGTCAGTTTAACCAACCGCACTATAGTTTCATGGATAAGCATCTTTTATATTGAAACATTTTGGCAAAAACTTAACCCATATAATCGATTTTTCTGACCCAATTAACCAAAAAATGGATTCTTAGATGATTTATAATTGATTATTTTCAACATTTCAAATTCAATTTTAATCCAATCAAATCGATTATAATAAACTTCTGGTTTCAGTTCGGTTGTTTTTTGTTCATAAAATCCTTGAAAATGGAACCCTTACGAACAAGTTCATCCCTGTATACAACCCTGGCCCCCAATGGTTAACATCCGCCCGTTACTTGAGCGCGTCCACTCTTTCAAACCCCCAAACTTTAATTTCAGCTTACGGATGAGCCGATTTTCGTTGGTGGATACTGCACTGAAGGAAACCCGGTTAGTTCTTTAGTTAGTTTGAAACTTTTAGACCAGCAATTTTTTAAGAACAACCGATACCCTGATTTTTCTTCTTTATCTTTTTTAAAAACCCAGTAAGTCACAATTTACTATTAAATTCTAATGGAAATGAATCACAGAAGAAACGTAGAAGTCAAGTAACTCACCAATCCACAATTGTTTTCAATTTATGGGGAGTTGGGTTTTTTGCGGACGTTTATTATACCTGAGAGATTTTTGTCACAGGCATACAGACAAGCGCACAAGTTTTTTTCTTTGATAATGTACAGACCATGATTTCAGGTGTTCCGAACAGTCGATGAATTCACACGAAGATGGGTTGTGACCCAAGAAGAATATCCCTCTCAATCTTACCCCCCTTGTTGCAGGGGGGCGTTCTATTTCATCTCGACTTCGCTAACCTCCAAAATAGCCCGAAATTGTCCTTACCATTGCACTTTACAAACGAATCGAAACGTGAAGTCTCAAAACTGTTTTTGGAAATTCGAAGATGTGTTCTTGGGATCCTGCCTGTCATCTATTAGCCCTAAGCCGGCTTCAGTTAATGTCCAGAATGTGTTTTGGTTGTCAGATGAAACAGAAAAACCGGCTAGTTTATACGAGAGCACAGCTGTTATTCACCCATTAAAAAGTGTATCGGACATTTTGACTCATCACGCAAAGTATCAATCAATCTCTAGAAAACGCTTAAAAGAAAAAATAGACAGACATATGAAAAATTTAGTCAGCAAAATCTCGTTGAAAAAATCGTTGAAAAAACATCAAAAAGACTAATAAGGCTGCAGTGTTGATACATATGCTGCAATGAAACAGGATTAAAGGAATAGCGGAAAAAAATATGAAAAAAAACAGGCAGGGATCCATTATGAAAAAATTACTGTAAGATTAGGCTGTTTTAATCATTAATATGAGTGCATTTGACTGCAATCCGCTATTATTTTGAAGCATCAGAGAGCATGTGAGTCGAAATTTAACCATAGTGTTTGACGTTGCTTATAGCTTATGCATAGTTTTGCATAGTTTTTGACGTTGAATGTAGAACTTGCAAGAATCTCGATTGTTTCTAAATGCAACTTGGATTAGAATTTCTTGCAAGGCTTCTTAGCAAGATTTAGACTCTTCTGACGCCCAGATTGGCAAAAAAATGACAGACATTTACTTTTCATCTAATTTCCCATACTTTGCAATTCGACTCCAAAACGTGCATAAAAATCTTGCGAGATAGATGCAAATTTATCAAGAATCTTGAAAAAAAGGAAGATTCATGTATTCCTTCGAAAAATTTAAGGACAAGACTGTTACAAAAATTGCTTTGCAAAACCCTAAGAATAACGTGGGAAGCTAGATAAAAAGTCTTTTGGAAAAGACAACAAAAAGCATTAGTTGAAATCAATTGTCGACTTTATGTTCCCACTCAAATCAGTTTGAAAATAGATTTTCATATTCTCCGTCAATTTAAAGTCTCAAAAAACCCTGCACTTAGTTCCATGCAAATTCTGAACAAAGTCCTCAATAAAGTTGAGTGTTCGGGCTGAAGTTATGTACATGATCGTCGAAAAATCACAAGATTAAAAAAATGGCCAATTGAATGCTCAAAGAGTTAAAAACAAACATAATGAAGCTCAAAATTTACATAATTTTGTTTTTATCATTTCACTTATTCATTTCGAGTACTTAAAACAATCGAAGAATTTGAGTCATTTTGAAAAAGTTTCTCAAAAAAAGACAGCAAGAAGACAGAGCTAAGCTTTTTGAATGCTGCTCAAAATATTCAACAATTTTACCCTACATCGTCAATTAAATTCCCGCAAGAGTGTTGACTACAGATGTCAATTTTTGATAGCCTTATAGCTTTTCTCTCAAAAAGTTTAGCAGGTTGACAAAAACATTTCATTAAACATAATTTTATGTATTCACTCCTATGTTTTGTTGTCTGAAGATCACTATGGTCACTGGATTCTATAAGACCTATCAAACATAAGAAACAGGATTTAATCATTTTCAAAACGTGTCGAAACAAATAATATTGTAAATCGTTACCCTTCTGAGTTGTTTTTGCTGAGTTTTAACTTGATTAAGAGTGCAAATAATATTAGTCGCGTGATTAACAAAGCAAAACTACTTACAAGTCACTGCATGTGGTTCACAACATCTTATTATAAAATGAAAAAATTTATTAAATATTGCTCGATCAAATTTCAGCTTAACTGACTATAAGAATTCTCATCACATAAAGATTAATATTATCTTATGATCAGATCAACTTAAATTTATTATAATGCTTCGCCTTCAGATGAGAAATGTTCGGAAACTTGTTGGAATAAAAAGTATTTTTTATACCTTAGCTTTTATTTTTTGTACCGAAGCTTTTATTTTGTGGACTATTTTTGGGAACCGTGAACTTCGAATCGATGGCGAAATTAGAAAAGAGGAGTTGTTCGAAACCAACATCTGATTGGTCAATTATCCAGCCAATCACATTCCGACGCCTTTATTTGCATACGAGAACGAAGATCTATGTCGGAGTAACCTCGAAGACCTTGTGCTGATTTTGATTCCGAGCAGAGTTCTCGCATTCGACAAGCGAGTCGTCGTTCGCCATACCTGGACAGATGTGTTGACGTATTCAAGAAGGGCAGTTTGGAACTACAAATTAGTTTCCATGGTAAGCCTAAATAGCTTTTATTCTAAATAGCTGTCAAGCCTAAATAGCTATAACTCATTTCGGTTTTGAAGAGCACTCAAATAACGATGAAAAAAATGTTCAGTAATTTTTTACTGCTTTTCGGACTTAGCGCAGACGTCACGACTCAAGTCTCCACTTAGCTTGACGCAAAAACATGGTGTGACTGCAAAGTTTTGGTCGCGCAATCGACTTTCCGTGACCATATTTGGTCACGAGTTAAGTCACACACCTCGACCTGGGGATCGACAAAACAATTCTAACTCAAATAAAACAATTATGCTTATATTTTAAGCATAGATTTTTATGAAAATCTAGCCGAAATAATGTTTTATTTCGACAGACTTATAGTTTTTGCTTAGATTTACTAGTTGCGTTATACTTTCAAAATAAAAAATATTGTGTGAAAAATGAAAATTTCAAAATAAACAATTGAGTGTCATTTTTCAGGTGTCGCTGCCAGCCAACAAATACGAGCAGCAAATAATCCAAACTGAGAATGAACTCTGGGGCGACATTGTGGTTCTGAACTTGCGAGACAGCTACTACAAACTCACAATTCAGATGTTGATGTCGTTCGAGTGGGTACACAGACACTGTTCTAATTCAAAGATGGTCTATAAGGCTGATGATGACACTTACATCAATTTGGCTATGCTGGAAGAGATCATCAGCAATCGGTTCAAAGGCAATGTTGGAATCAGAAGGGTACGTCTGGAAATTTTTACAAGCATTTTTTTGGCTAAACCACATGTTTCTTTACAAAGAGCTTTGAGTACAACTTTGTACTCAAAAATGAAACCATTTGTTTCAAATTTTTACAATAGCACTAACCTCTGCTCAAAAACTTCTGAACAAAATAGTCGCGAAAAATAATAACTTTCTGTGAACTGCAGCGGAGCCGTAAAAGTTTGTTACATCTGTTTAACGATAATCATTTCTGTAATTTATCTCAAATCGGACATTTTGACTCATCACGCAAAGTATCAATCAATCTCTAGAAAACGCTTAAAAGAAAAAATAGACAGACATATGAAAAATTTAGTCAGCAATATCTCGTTGAAAAAATCGTTGAAAAAACATCAAAAAGACTAATAAGGCTGCAGTGTTGATACATATGCTGCAATGAAACAGAATTAAAGGAATAGCGGAAAAAAATATGAAAAAAAAACAGGCAGGGATCCATAATGAAAAAATTACTGTAAGATTAGGCTGTTTTAATCATTAATATGAGTGCATTTGACTGCAATCCGCTATTATTTTGAAGCATCAGAGAGCATGTGAGTCGAAATTTAACCATAGTGTTTGACGTTGCATATAGCTTATGCATAGTTTTGCATAGTTTTTGACGTTGAATGTAGAACTTGCAAGAATCTCGATTGTTTCTAAATGCAACTTGGATTACAATTTCTTGCAAGGCTTCTTAGCAAGATTTAGACTCTTCTGACGCCCAGATTGGCAAAAAAATGACAGACATTTACTTTTCATCTAATTTCCCATACTTTGCAATTCGACTCCAAAACGTGCATAAAAATCTTGCGAGATAGATGCAAATTTATCAAGAATCTTGAAAAAAAGGAAGATTCATGTATTCCTTCGAAAAATTTAAGGACAAGACTGTTACAAAAATTGCTTTGCAAAACCCTAAGAATAACGTGGGAAGCTAGATAAAAAGTCTTTTGGAAAAGACAACAAAAAGCATTAGTTGAAATCAATTGTCGACTTTATGTTCCCACTCAAATCAGTTTGAAAATAGATTTTCATATTCTCCGTCAATTTAAAGTCTCAAAAAACCCTGCACTTAGTTCCATGCAAATTCTGAACAAAGTCCTCAATAAAGTTGAGTGTTCGGGCTGAAGTTATGTACATGATCGTCGAAAAATCACAAGATTAAAAAAATGGCCAATTGAATGCTCAAAGAGTCAAAAACAAACATAATGAAGCTCAAAATTTACATAATTTTGTTTTTATCATTTCACTTATTCATTTCGAGTACTTAAAACAATCGAAGAATTTGAGTCATTTTGAAAAAGTTTCTCAAAAAAAGACAGCAAGAAGACAGAGCTAAGCTTTTTGAATGCTGCTCAAAATATTCAACAATTTTACCCTACATCGTCAATTAAATTCCCGCAAGAGTGTTGACTACAGATGTCAATTTTTGATAGCCTTATAGCTTTTCTCTCAAAAAGTTTAGCAGGTTGACAAAAACATTTCATTAAACATAATTTTATGTATTCACTCCTATGTTTTGTTGTCTGAAGATCACTATGGTCACTGGATTCTATAAGACCTATCAAACATAAGAAACAGGATTTAATCATTTTCAAAACGTGTCGAAACAAATAATATTGTAAATCGTTACCCTTCTGAGTTGTTTTTGCTGAGTTTTAACTTGATTAAGAGTGCAAATAATATTAGTCGCGTGATTAACAAAGCAAAACTACTTACAAGTCACTGCATGTGGTTCACAACATCTTATTATAAAATGAAAAAATTTATTAAATATTGCTCGATCAAATTTCAGCTTAACTGACTATAAGAATTCTCATCACATAAAGATTAATATTATCTTATGATCAGATCAACTTAAATTTATTATAATGCTTCGCCTTCAGATGAGAAATGTTCGGAAACTTGTTGGAATAAAAAGTATTTTTTATACCTTAGCTTTTATTTTTTGTACCGAAGCTTTTATTTTGTGGACTATTTTTGGGAACCGTGAACTTCGAATCGATGGCGAAATTAGAAAAGAGGAGTTGTTCGAAACCAACATCTCATTGGTCAATTATCCAGCCAATCACATTCCGACGCCTTTATTTGCATACGAGAACGAAGATCTATGTCGGAGTAACCTCGAAGACCTTGTGCTGATTTTGATTCCGAGCAGAGTTCTCGCATTCGACAAGCGAGTCGTCGTTCGCCATACCTGGACAGATGTGTTGACTTATTCAAGAAGGGCAGTTTGGAACTACAAATTAGTTTTCATGGTAAGCCTAAATAGCTTTTATTCTAAATAGTTGTCAAGCCTAAATAGCTATAACTCATTTCGGTTTTGAAGAGCACTCAAATAACGATGAAAAAAATGTTCAGTAATTTTTTACTGCTTTTCGGACTTAGCGCAGACGTCACGACTCAAGTCTCCACTTAGCTTGACGCAAAAACATGGTGTGACTGCAAAGTTTTGGTCGCGCAATCGACTTTCCGTGACCATATTTGGTCACGAGTTAAGTCACACACCTCGACCCGGGGATCGACAAAACAATTCTAACTCAAATAAAACAATTATGCTTATATTTTAAGCATAGATTTTTATGAAAATCTAGCCGAAATAACGTTTTATTTCGACAGACTTATAGTTTTTGCTTAGATTTACTAGTTGCGTTATACTTTCAAAATAAAAAATATTGTGTGAAAAATGAAAATTTCAAAATAAACAATTGAGTGTCATTTTTCAGGTGTCGCTGCCAGCCAACAAATACGAGCAGCAAATAATCCAAACTGAGAATGAACTCTGGGGCGACATTGTGGTTCTGAACTTGCGAGACAGCTACTACAAACTCACAATTCAGATGTTGATGTCGTTCGAGTGGGTACACAGACACTGTTCTAATTCAAAGATGGTCTATAAGGCTGATGATGACACTTACATCAATTTGGCTATGCTGGAAGAGATCATCAGCAATCGGTTCAAAGGCAATGTTGGAATCAGAAGGGTACGTCTGGAAATTTTTACAAGCATTTTTTTGGCTAAACCACATGTTTCTTTACAAAGAGCTTTGAGTACAACTTTGTACTCAAAAATGAAACCATTTGTTTCAAATTTTTACAATAGCACTAACCTCTGCTCAAAAACTTCTGAACAAAATAGTCGCGAAAAATAATAACTTTCTGTGAACTGCAGCGGAGCCGTAAAAGTTTGTTACATCTGTTTAACGATAATCATTTCTGTAATTTATCTCAACTCGGCATAAATATTTTGTTCTTTTGAAAATAAATTGTAATCTAATTAGATATAGGTTCCAAAGTTTCAGCTGCCCTTGAAGTTCTCTCATTTTTTGTGGTAAAAAATAGTTTAGCTATTGAATACAAATTTCGATTTTCACCTAGCGAAATGTTTTCATACCATCTGAAAAATATTGATACTCAAAGATATTGGTAGTCAATGATAAAAATTGAAAAGATAATTTGGCTCTTTTTCTTCCCCAATCATGTTTGAGGCTACTTTGTCTAATATAGTTCAAAACAAAATAAAAAGCGTGCATTTTATTTTATTTCGTGCTATGAAACATAAGCGAAGGTTTGAAATATTTCAAATTGAAGTAGGTCAAGCAAATTGACCTAACTATGGGATACAAGACTTAAAACATATCTCCTTGTAATTCAAATTTTGTTAGAAACCAAAATGGACCAAGTTAACATCCTCTCCCCCAAAGCCGTTTGGGGGATGTTAACTTGGTTCTAAGTTGGCAATTTTCAGCCAATCAGAATCGAGCATTTTACATGCAGCGCTGAGCAAATTTAATGCGAATTAAATGCTGGGGTGAAAGAACTTAACTTGGTCTATCTGGGGGGAGGGGGGGGGGGGGGGTTTGTACTATGGGCGTACTTGTGGTAAATGTTTTATACCACTTGAGTAAAATTGACGCCCTGAGCTCAATTTCAGTTTGACATTTCACCTGTGATTATTTTTAATAAAAATTTGGAGTTTCAAAAATTGTCGATTCGACTAATTTGGGACAATAAAAACGCGATATACTGCGTTTGTGAAGACCCTGAGCGTCAGTTTAACCAACCGCACTATAGTTTCATGGATAAGCATCTTTTATATTGAAACATTTTGGCAAAAACTTAACCCATATAATCGATTTTTCTGACCCAATTAACCAAAAAATGGATTCTTAGATGATTTATAATTGATTATTTTCAACATTTCAAATTCAATTTTAATCCAATCAAATCGATTATAATAAACTTCTGGTTTCAGTTCGGTTGTTTTTTGTTCATAAAATCCTTGAAAATGGAACCCTTACGAACAAGTTCATCCCTGTATACAACCCTGGTCCCCAATGGTTAACATCCGCCCCTTACTTGAGCGCGTCCACTCTTTCAAACCCCCAAACTTTAATTTCAGCTTACGGATGAGCCGATTTTCGTTGGTGGATACTGCACTGAAGGAAACCCGGTTAGTTCTTTAGTTAGTTTGAAACTTTTAGACCAGCAATTTTTTAAGAACAACCGATACCCTGATTTTTCTTCTTTATCTTTTTTAAAAACCCAGTAAGTCACAATTTACTATTAAATTCTAATGGAAATGAATCACAGAAGAAACGTAGAAGTCAAGTAACTCACCAATCCACAATTGTTTTCAATTTATGGGGAGTTGGGTTTTTTGCGGACGTTTATTATACCTGAGAGATTTTTGTCACAGGCATACAGACAAGCGCACAAGTTTTTTTCTTTGATAATGTACAGACCATGATTTCAGGTGTTCCGAACAGCCGATGAATTCACACGAAGATGGGTTGTGACCCAAGAAGAATATCCCTCTCAATCTTACCCCCCTTGTTGCAGGGGGGCGTTCTATTTCATCTCGACTTCGCTAACCTCCAAAATAGCCCGAAATTGTCCTTACCATTGCACTTTACAAACGAATCGAAACGTGAAGTCTCAAAACTGTTTTTGGAAATTCGAAGATGTGTTCTTGGGATCCTGCCTGTCATCTATTAGCCCTAAGCCGGCTTCAGTTAATGTCCAGAATGTGTTTTGGTTGTCAGATGAAACAGAAAAACCGGCTAGTTTATACGAGAGCACAGCTGTTATTCACCCATTAAAAAGTGTATCGGACATTTTGACTCATCACGCAAAGTATCAATCAATCTCTAGAAAACGCTTAAAAGAAAAAATAGACAGACATATGAAAAATTTAGTCAGCAATATCTCGTTGAAATTAGGCTAACTTCTGTGGCTAACAACTTTGAAAAACCAAAGCAGCAGTAACCAATTTTTAGAGTATCTACTGCTTTTTCTGATAAATTTAGTTTTGTTGTTGAAAAGACCTATGTGAAAAGAATATCAAGTTGATTGAAAACAAGCAGAAGAAAGATCAATTAAACATTTGATTGCAAAAAAACTTAATTCATTCTTTGCTCATATATATAAAATCTTCATCTCCAACTTTTCATTCAATGAATTCGATCACCGGGTTCAAGGTCGTGGCTTTATACTCAAACTTGAACGTACTGGTTCCATCCGCGATGAGAGCCAAATTTTATAGATGACCATGGTAAACACATATATAATCTTACAACAGATAAAAAACGAAAAAGTTTTGCTGTGATATGAAACAGGTCCACATCATTTTGAAGCCAGTTAATCACTAAGAAACACATAACACTTGAAATTTACAAGCCTAGAAAAAAAATGAACCCCTTTCCTTAACTATTGAGAGAAATGAATGGTGTTGTTTGTTGAACGGCTATGAAAAATTGACATAAATTGTTCGGTCTCTACGGTTTAAAACCACACTTTTGGATGATCACGTTATGAGCCCGGATTTTTTGTTCTACCCGGTCTGAATCCTCATTTTGGTCGCTGCTCACAATGAACTTCGGTAGTCTTGGACTGAAAATAGCAGTTTTTAGTCCCCACCGTCCGAATAATAAAAATTGGTCCATACTTTTTGAATTGAAAATCATGACCTCAATTTGGAAAGGGGGTTTTAAAAAGTTTTCTGAAAAAATACTTGTTTGTTTTCAAAATTTTTTTCTTCCAATTCTGGTGCAGAGTTGACAAACACTAACATATTTAAAATGTCTTCGATTTTTATTGAATTTGAAGTATTAGCTAGCTATCAACCCTATCAGTCGATTTTCTATGGCTGACTTTATTTTTTAGTTTGAGAGAAATTTTCATTTTCTTTGTTTTTTAAGCAGAGTAACAGGTGATTATTTTCAAGAAGTCTAATTAAAATTAATGATTCAAACAAAAAAGGTTTTGGTCTGCCAAGAGCAGCAAATTTAAAACAGATTCAACTAAAAACGAACTGTTGATTTATCAATTTTCAGCTTCTGAAATATTTTTAAGCATTTGAACTCTTAGTTAAAATGACAAAATACTTGTGTTTGAGTTGTTTTTTCTCCAGACTATTTCGACATTTTATTTTAAAGTTTTTGAAAATTTTTTTTATGCAATTGGAAAATATTATGCCCTGAGCCAGGCGCGGATCTAGGACTTTCTCGAGGGGGGGAGCGGATTTTCAAAAAGCTTGCTCCCCCCTCAAAATTAGTATAGATTGGCGCCAAAGGCGCGCTTATAAAAATTTTAAGGTCAGTCAGCCGAAAATGGATATCTGAAAATAATACAAAGGGGGGACTTTTTGGGTTGGCAGGGGTTCGAATCCCTGAAAATGAACGTCCCCCCCCGCTACTACTTGAGCTCCTATCATAAAAAATTGCATGGAATCATTATTCGTAAGACTATCTTGGTTTGAAAATTGCTGACTTTGAAAGATGCCAAGTTAGGCAAGCTAACGTTCAGCCAGTTTTCTTCAATCTTATAAAGTTTCAATTACATTGAGGACAGATCATCGTTTGGTCGATTTCAAATTTTTAAAAAAAGTTTATCATCCGTTTTTATCAAAACTAATTCATAGACGTTTAACTGAGGTCAGAACATTTGTGGTTTTGAACTGATAGGAGCTAACCAGTTCAGGTTAAAAATGCTCAATGCTGCATGCAAAAAACTCTTTTGTGACAATCGTGATTTTTGTATCTTTCCACTTAGAACGAAGAAAGTTCGTTCTCAAAAAATATTTTTGGGGAAAAAGGAAGACGATAAAAGAAATTGAAACCAAGAACTTTCTGCAAAATTTAGAAAGCTGCCAAAGAATTTTCTGATAATTTTCTATCAGAAACGAAATTAACATCCTTCTCAAAAAATAATGTGGGAGAAAAAAGGAAGATAAAAGAAATTGAGAGAAGAACTTATGTCAAAATTTAGAGAGTTAAAAAGGAATTTTCTGAAGCAGAGTTTAGTTGATTGAAAAAATTCCTCGTTTTTGGGCAGCTATCAAACCGCCATGTATTGAGAGCAAGATTAACAATTCAGAATTAAAACGTGCCAAACATTTTTTTGTTCAAAACCTTGTGAAATGTTTCTTTATGAACCCACCTAGGTCCAAATCATTAGCAACTTAAATAAGAATTCGACATGCTGACCACCCAGAGGGCCTCCCTTTGGTGCTCATTACCAACGTTCAACTTTGTCAACTGACTTTAAATTAGTTTTTTAGGCGTCTTCGAAACCAAACTGTAATAACTTGAAGGGGGATTGAACGCGCGACGCGATTGAAACTCATTTTTTGGTGACATTTTCGGCCGGTTTTTCTTATTTTTTCCTGCGGAAATTTTTGTTAAAAATTATCCAGCAGAAATTTTTGTAAAAGTAAAGTTTCTGTAATAATTTGCGAGTGCTTGGAAAATTTTTTCTACAATAATAAAAATTTGAAATTTTCTCTCCCGAGAAAATCACAAATTGAAACTTATACTAAATTCAGCCTGTTTTAAACTGATACCAATTTTTTTCCACGGTTCCAGCTGAATAAGTCCAATTCTTAAAACCGTCTGTGTGAATTCAACCTTAATTACATCTTGGCGAATGAGTCCAACATTTAGCAAAATGTTCAAATACGTGATCATCAATTTTTTGAAGCAGAAGCCGATATATGAGATCACATGCTAGAAATACGGGTTTTTTATATTAAACTTTTGAAACTCAAAGCGTCCCTAATGGTGCATCTAATGGTGCAACAAAAAAATTTATCGTCGGTTACTGTTTCTTCGGATTTTTTGTTTTGAGATCATGCGTAGCATTCTAGCTTTCTGATTACATCTTCACGAGTTACAATATAATCCAGAATTTTGCTAGTTATTTCAAGACTTTGGCGACTAAGTTCAAGAGTATGATTTGTAACTAGCAGCAAAAGACCCAAGTTTTTCTCGCAAAAACAATTTTCAGACAATTTTTACTTAGATGTTCTTGAACTTGAATTCGGTATTTTTGAGTTTTCTTTTAAGTCTATATTTTTATAGCTCGATAGTAAATCACAATTCAAAAAAAATAAAATTTTTCTGTTTTGACATGTAATAGTCATCTCAATTTCAATGTCTTTTGGAGAGCCCTAACTATTAAATGAAAAACATTCAAATGAAATGAAACCATTTCGCCCTCAATTCTAAAAAAAATGAACTGCATACAAACGTAGACCCCGCAAAAACAGTTGACTTAAAAGAAAAACTTTCACACCATGTCTTGCATACAAAAAAAATCCATCACTGTGTGAAAGTTAAATAAATTTGGTTCAGCTGATTGAGGAGGGAGAGTTGGGTAACCAAAATCAGACCACATAAAAAACCACAAACTAACAAGTTACCATATTACAAAATATCGCGACAGTAATGCGACAAGTCCAGACTTATCGGCAGCTATAAAACTATGTCCAGATAGAACCCTCGCCATGAACTTTCCAAAGCAAGTAAGTCATCTGAGAAATTACATTATTCATTTTTTCTTGTAAAATTTGTATTTTTAAAAATTGGAATCCGTTTGCAAAAAAAAACGCAAGATTTCGCATTCCAACAAAAAGTGTGTGTTCGGTTTATTGTAAGTTCTGCTAACATCTAGTACATAATTAACAAAACCTCACAGCGCAGATTGCCATGTTATTTACCCCTAAAGCGACGGAAACGTAAGAAAAGTGCATGCAAGCATGCAAAACCCAATGATCTTTGAGGTATAGTCAAGATTTTGAAAATGGGTAGATTAAAACTACAATTCGAAAAAAAAATTGTGGAAATTTTTCACCCCTAAATGATACTAATACAAAATTATTGGCAAAAAAAAACAAAAATTTGTAAATTCAGATGTTTGAGCGATTTGCTTAAATAAAAATGAATCATCGATGAAGTTTATATCAGATTAAGGGAAAGTAAATATTGCAAGAGTCTTGCTAGATTTGCATTTTCAAAGTGCTCAATGCAAAAAACTAAAGCTTTAGGCTCACATAAAATAATTTCCCGCTGATTTGATTTTTTGAGCTATACGGAGAATTCCTTTTTGCAGCTAAGAAGTATTCAAACTACTAATCTATTTTCAAACTAAAATATAAGGCAATTGAATTTTGAAATAACTTTCTATCCTACTTGTAGTTAAGTATTTAACAATTGTATTAGTTTCTTATTGATAATTCATAAGATTATGAGCACTAAGTAGACAACCGCGGAAGGATTCTCATGCTGGAGGAACCGAATGCTGGAAAACTTTCAACGACAGAAATCGCTAAGCGTTCCTAGTGGTTAAATGCCTTTCTCGCAGAATTGAAGTCAATATTTACAGAAAATGTTAAAATAATGAATATAATAGGTGCAGATATAATTAATTTAGTTTTTTGTTTTTCCATTTTTGTAATTCGGTATCCTTGAAATATCAAATTTGTTGCAATCCTCCTTCGATTCGGCATTATTTTAGTTCATCTTCTTATTATGTAATTGGTCAATATTAACACTAATCGCCTGTATTTATTTCCTTGCTCTGAGATTTTCGCAATTTCCCATACTCAATTCCGGTTGGCTGAAAATAAGCCAAATAAAAATTTTCATTATCCAGCAACCTCGTATTCATACTTGTCTATAAGTAGGCAAATACTATGTTGACCAAATAAAATTGAGATGAGAAAGCAAACTTACGAAATAAAATAGTTATAAATTTCTTCCTTGTCTCAATTCTGATTGGCTAGTATAGTATTTGTTTGCTTAATGCCGAGTATGAATACGCGGTTGTCTAAATAATGCTATGTAACCATGGTCAACAACCAGTTGGAAGATAGAAGAGCCAATGCCTGCTAGGAAACAGTTTTTTTTTGAAAACTTCAACTTTCGTATATCAAAAAAATATTTGACCCATTAGCTCAATATCACAAACAATTTATGACAGACACGTTTTTGATAAAAACTAATTCAATTTCAGAAAACTGGAATAAAAGGTTGAATTTTCGTTTCTCTGGGAAATCTGAAAACTCAAATCTTCACAAACAAACGTACCCAAGAACAATTGTTAATTAATTATTCGGTACGTTTGCTTTCTTATCTCCATTCTTATTAGTTAATACAGTAATTGTTTGTCTACTTAGTATGAAAAACGCTGTTGTCTAATTACAGACAGCACTCCGAAATATATTTAGTTAATTTTAAATAGCTGCCACAGGAAAAGTTTAGTTTTTTCTGAACTTTGATGATAGGACCAGAAACAGCACAACGAGCGCCAATATAACGCAAGAAATACACCAGGAAAACCAAGTCAGAACACATCCGTAAGCCCAAGACCCACTCTTCAAACTTGATTGGTTGCCTTTGTATGACGTAATCATAGAAGCAGCCAATAGGTTGAAACCCCACTGTCCAGTTGCCAATAGGATTTTAATGGCATCATTCCGAGGAGTGTCGTGAAGCTGAGTGACATTGAGGCCGAGAAGGATGAAGAGGAAGGCGGCGAAAAAGTGGGAGAAGATGAGAAACATCCGGGCTGTGTTGTAACCAGTCTCGTTTGAAGACTCTGAAAACAAGAGCTTATAATAGAACTATTTTAACGAATTTTTCAGGACTCTAAAGAGTAAAATTCGTCGATAAAGCGAATTGGTTATAGCTTATAAGTCTCAAACCAGAGCACGTTGTTTCAAATACTAGAAGTATCCGTGCTCGTTGAGCGAGGGTAAGACGAAATTGAGACCTAAACTAGCCCAAATACGCACAGCAACAATTGATCAGGCAGATGCTTGAACAACTTGAATTTTGTTCTTTTTCTTAATGAACAAGTTATAATCCTAATCTCAATTTTTTTAAGCCCTGTCATTAAATGGTAACAATTTGGAAACAAATTATTTTTGTTGTTGTTGTTATTATTATGATTATTAATATCATTATTATGATTATCAATAATAATCATAATAATAGTAATAATATCCATAATAATCGTAATAATAATCATAATCATCATGATGATTAATAATAATAAAAATAGTAATCAGAATAATCATAATATTAATCATAATAACTGTAAAAATAATAATCAAATTAATCATAATAATAGTAAAAGTAAAAATAATATTAGTAATAAAAATCATAATAATGATAATAATAGTAATAATAATCATAATCATAATAATCATAATCATATTAATAATAATCATAATCATAATAATCATAAAAATAATCATAATAATCATAATAATCACAATAAACATCATAATAATCATACTAATAATCATAATAATCATAATAATCATAGAAAAAACAATAATGATAATAATCATAATGATAATCATAATCATTATAATAGCCATAGTAATAATCATAATAATAATCATAATAATAAAGATAATAAAAATCTTTATGGTCGTAATAATAATAATCATAATAATACTAACAGTAATCATAATAAAAATCATAATAATAATCATAATAACCATAATAAAGTTAAAAATCATAATAATAGTCATAATAATCATAATAATATGATTAATACTAATCGTAATCATATTAATAATAATCATAATCATAATAATCAAAATCATAATAATCATAAAAATAATCATAATAATAATAATCATAATAAAAATCATAATAATAGTCATAATAATCATAATAATATTATTTCTAATAATCATAATCATAACAATCATAATCATAATCATAATAATAATAATCATAATAATCATAAAAATAATCATAACAATCATAATAATCATAAAAAAAAACAATAATGATAATAATCATAGTCATAATCATAATCATTATAATAATCATAATAATAATCATAATAATAATCATAATAATCATGATAATAATAATTTTTATAGTCGTAATAATGATAATCATAATAATACTAACATTAATCATAATAAAAATCATAATAATAATCATAATAACAATAATAATAAAAATCATAAAAATAGTCATAATAATCATAATAATTTTATTGATAATAATCGTAATCATAATAATCATAATCATAATAAGCATAAAAATAATCATAATGATCATAATCATAATAATCATAAAAATAATCATAATAATCATAATAATAATAAAAAACATAATAATAGTCATAATAATCATAATATTATTATTAATAATAATCATAATCATAACAATCATAATCATAATCATAATCATAATAATCATAATCATAATAATCAAAAAATTAATCATAATAATCATAATAATAATCATAATAACCATAATAATCATAAAAAAATAACAATAATGATAATAATCATAATAATAATCATAATCATTATAATAATCATAATAATAATCATAATAATAATCATAATAATCATGATAATAATAAGCTTTATAGTCGTAATAATAATAATCATAATAATACTAACAGTAATCATAAGAAAAATCATAACAATAATCATAATAACCATAATAATGTTAAAAATCATAATAATAGTCGTAATAATCATAATAATATTGTTTATAATAATCGTAATCATAATATTAATAATCATGATAACAATAATAATCATAATCATTAAAATAGTTTATTATTATTATGACTATTATTATGATTATTATGATTTTTATTATGATTTTTATTTTTATTGTTTTTCTTATTCTAATTCACTGATTATGATTATTATTATGTTTATTATAATTATGATTATTACTAAAATCATTATGATTATGACTATTACTATAATTTTTCTTATGATAATTTAATGATTGTTATTATGTTTTTTTATTATTATGATTATTATCATTACTATTATGATTATAATTAATATTATTTTGATTAGTTTTATTATTGTGATTATTTTTATTAATTTTGTGTTTTTAGAAAATTGAAGTCGGCGGAAGCAGTTTTTAGGTTTAAATTGAAGCGAGGCGGAAACTATTCTCATAATGGCGTGACGATTAGCCGAAAAAATCCGATCAGTCAGTATGTTTTAGAAGATCCTTATCACTTTGAATGATTTTTGAATGAAACCGAAGTCAAAATCAACAAAAACATTTTGATATATACAATTCATGCAGATACAATATATTTTACTTACCATTTTTTCAAGTTCGTATCGTAAAAAAATTAAGTTTTGCTAATCCGTCTTGCAATACTTCGAGCAAAACAACAAGCTAGCAATACTGCTACATTCACATATCTGCAAACTATTAATTTACGACTCAAGTTATTATCATGATATTCAAATTACATAATTACAAACTATATGACTCAAATAACAATACTGCCTGTTTGATATTGGCTGTTGAGAGATAGAGTATATCGAAAATATTTTAATGTATTGCTTGCTAATTTAAAAAAAATTAATCGAGACCTGTTAAAAAGCAGTCGCAGCATTCAGGGCTTTGGACTGATAAGAACAATCTCCAGATGAAATTCGACTTTTTAGCTAGCAAAATGTGAGCTGATACTTTAATATTACCCGAGAGGTATTGACTTCTGAACTCAAACTTAAAATGATATTTTAACTCTGACCATTTTTTCTGACTTACAAAGAAGATGACGGAATATTTGTGCTTGGTGTAGCTTTTTTCTCAAGACAAACTTCGACTGTTTAACACGTCATTTTGACAACATTTTCTTAATCACGCGAAAGGTATTGTTGTCCTGAGCTCAAATTTAAAACGCAGAGTCGAAGCTCAGCTCCGCACCACTTGTGAGCAATCATAATAAAAATCATAATAAAAATCATAATAATCATAATAATAGTCATAATAATCATAAACTATTTTAATGATTATGATTATTATTGTTATCATGATTATTAATATTATGATTACGATTATTATAAACAATATTATTATGATTATTACGACTATTATTATGATTTTTAACATTATTATGGTTATTATGATTATTGTTATGATTTTTCTTATGATTACTGTTAGTATTATTATGATTATTATTATTACGACTATAAAGATTATTATTATCATGATTATTATGATTATTATTATGATTATTATTATGATTATGATTTTTACTAATATTTTTATTTTTATTGTTTTTCTTATTCTAATTCACTGATTATGATTATTATTATGTTTATTATAATTATGATTATTACTAAAATCATTATGATTATGACTATTACTATAATTTATCTTATGATAATTTAATGATTGTTATTATGTTTTTTTATTATTATGATTATTATCATTACTATTATGATTATAATTAATATTATTTTGATTAGTTTTATTATTGTGATTATTTTTATTAATTTTGTGTTTTTAGAAAATTGAAGTCGGCGGAAGCAGTTTTTAGGTTTAAATTGAAGCGAGGCGGAAACTATTCTCATAATGGCGTGACGATTAGCCGAAAAAATCCGATCAGTCAGTATGTTTTAGAAGATCCTTATCACTTTGAATGATTTTTGAATGAAACCGAAGTCAAAATCAACAAAAACATTTTGATATATACAATTCATGCAGATACAATATATTTTACTTACCATTTTTTCAAGTTCGTATCGTAAAAAAAATTAAGTTTTGCTAATCCGTCTTGCAATACTTCGAGCAAAACAACAAGCTAGCAATACTGCTACATTCACATATCTGCAAACTATTAATTTACGACTCAAGTTATTATCATGATATTCAAATTACATAATTACAAACTATATGACTCAAATAACAATACTGCCTGTTTGATATTGGCTGTTGAGAGATAGAGTATATCGAAAATATTTTAATGTATTGCTTGCTAATTTAAAAAAAATTAATCGAGACCTGTTAAAAAGCAGTCGCAGCATTCAGGGCTTTGGACTGATAAGAACAATCTCCAGATGAAATTCGACTTTTTAGCTAGCAAAATGTGAGCTGATACTTTAATATTACCCGAGAGGTATTGACTTCTGAACTCAAACTTAAAATGATATTTTAACTCTGACCATTTTTTCTGACTTACAAAGAAGATGACGGAATATTTGTGCTTGGTGTAACTTTTTTCTCAAGACAAACTTCGACTGTTTAACACGTCATTTTGACAACATTTTCTTAATCACGCGAAAGGTATTGTTGTCCTGAGCTCAAATTTAAAACGCAGAGTCGAAGCTCAGCTCCGCACCACTTGTGATGCAGCAAGTATAAGGTAAAACTGCATGACGTTTAAGAAGTAGCAAACAAGACATCGAGCGGAGAAAAATTTGAAGGAGGAAGAAAAAAATAGCAGGGAAACAAATGGAAGTTTTTTCATGATCAACTTCCACTAAGTTTTTTAAGAGGACCTTCTGAAGTTTATTTTGAGCATTTGGAAATATGGAGCCGGACTCTTATCGATTTTTATAACAAGACCGGCAGTTTGTAGGAATAGATATAAGGTAGAAAAACAAACAAAATTGTACCCAGAGCTAATAAGCTGAAATGAGTTCAGCTTTTATAGTGTCCACGAGTGCTTTAGATGTAGTGAATGCCAGACCCAATTCGTGAACTAAATTGACAGAGTTAAAGTCGGTAACCATAAAGCAGAAAAATTGGAATACAACACTTTTATAGAACAACAAAAGACAGAAACTAAGACGGAAGCCGCTAACTTAAAAAAGCTTTCTTCAGTTGAAAATTGTGATAGTGTCAAGAAAAGCTAATTCTACCAACAATCCGCCTTAAAATTTGTTCCAAATAGGTTGAAGCAGGCTATTTTTCATGACTGCTACGCTAACAAAATTGAAATTTATCACTTTTCATCTTCTCATCGTGTGGGAGAAAAATTTTCGAAAAAAAACTTCTTTTTTTGAATTTTTCATTTTGAAAATGATTTAAAAAAAAAACTGTATCAATATTTTGAGTGAGCACTGCTCCATAGACTTTAAAAAGCATTCGGTACATTCAGAGCGCCGCCTTGATACAAGCAGTCTTGTTGATTTGTTATATCGGTTTGGCTTCAAAAATCGTCAAATTGGGTTCGAAAACTGCCAATTTGATCAACTTGGGACAATTAATGCAGGATGAGTTTCGTGCTTTTAACGCGTAAAAGCGAAAACTAAATCCGACTCAAAAATTGTCCCAAATTAAATTTAAGCTAGCTTTTTAGTCTTCTTAATGTTTTATTAGCCGGACAAACGACATACCTACAGTAATGTTTCAAAGATAGTAATTGAACAAGTAGGACTTCAAGCACCTCTATGAAATCCAAAAAAACAATCGATAACTGATTAAACAGGAATGAATATTTATGTTTTTCAAAGCAAACAAATCAAGTTTCAATCGATTACAATAGATTTTTTTAAATAAGTTTATATTTTTTCTTAGCATAAATTATGGATCTATTTTACTCTATGAATCAGAATCATATCTTCAATTCGTATGGATAGTAATTTTTCAAAGTTGTTTTGATGGTTAATTGGATACTAGCTCATCAGCCGTGAATTTATAAGAACAATTGATCATTTTTACCCATCAATTTTACCCATCAACAATCCATTACTCGGCCTAAATTAGCGATAATAATTGCTTATTTAGACAACAATTTAGTCAATAAAAATTCCTTATAATTCAAATAAACTAAAGGGCAAGTGGTGACAGGGGCGGATATCTAGGATTTTCTCGAGGAGGGGGGGTGATTTTTTAGAAAATTTTGTCTACCTTTTTTTAGGTCAACCTAATCCAAATTTATTTACCGAGCACTACCAGAACATTATAAAAGCTCTATTTTGACCAAAATTTTTGGCCGCAGGCAAATTTTGCAAAAAATAGGTCAAAAAATGCATTTTTATTGGCAGTTTTTGCCTTTTTTCGGCAAGCCCTCTCATTAAAAATTAGTATATTTTGGCGCCAAGGGCGCCATTAGAAAAAATTTAGGGTTGCCATAAAAATGGATGTCAAAGAATTATCCCAAAGGGGAGACCCTGTGATTGATGAGTGTTCGAATCCCTGAGTTGGGGGGGGGGGGGGGGGACTTTGCGTCCGCACTCTTATTTCCGAAATTCGCTCCTGAGTGGGGACATTCAGGGCTTCGCCAAGACTTGTTAGTGTTCAATACTTTTGTGAACTAACGAGTGAGGTCGTAGCAGTCGCTGACGATGACTCTTCCGTAGAACTCACTGAACACACTCACACACTCTCGCCACAGAGCAGAGTAGCCGAAGTCCCCCTCCACCCATCTTCCATGGCCACACACTGCGAACACCTAAGTTACACATGATATACTAAGGAATATGCTAATTGAGACGCCATTGTGTAAAAAAAAATTATCAATTGTAAGTTTTTTGACAACTTCATTTTTCGATGAAAGTAATCTCGAATCACCGATACAGATGTATTGTAGAACATTATTTCTTTCTATTTTCCCTTAACAGACTCGTAAGCAGAGGCGGATATAGGTTTTTCTCGAAGGGGGCGGATTTTCAAAAAAATTTTGAAAATTTTGTCGACCTTTTATTTAGCTCGACCCAATTGATTTTTTGAGTTCTCCCTAAGCACGGTTTAGTCCCTGTTTTGAAAAAAGTCCAAAAAAGGCGTTTTTAGGCACTTTTTGTAAAACTTTGATAAAAAAACTGCGTTTTTTCGGCGCGCGCTCCCCCTCAAAATTAGTATATATTGGCGCCCAAGGCGCCTTTAGAAAAATTTAGGGTCGGTCGGCCAAAAATGGGTTTCTTAAAAAGTCTCAAAGGGGGACCCTTTGGGTCGTCAGAAGGTCCGTCCCCCCCCCCCCCCCCCCCCCCCAAATCCGCCCCTGCTGGTAAGCACAAATTTTCAGATTCGGTTTTTGAGTTAAAACAACCTTTTGAAAGCATGATTATAAATGCAATAGTAGAAACTAGCTTACTATTGATAAGAGAACCATCGCAAGTAACGCAGCTACAAATATCTTTCCAAAAAAGGAAAGACTTTGGCGGGGTGGTAACCGAAAAGTGTCTTTCGGCTTTTCCGAGCCTTGGAAGTTTCGGGGAAACATGTTTAACAAATAATCTTTTAATTCAAAAACATGCTGAAAAAAGCTCAATTTATTGCTTATTTTGTAACGTTGCAAAGGTATATAGCTTCGTTTCGAAGGTAAAACATTTATTAAAAAATGGTCACTGCCAAAACGCAGCTTTGTAATAAACGGTTTTTTAAAAAGAGCACGTTCACCATACCTGTTCATGCATAAAAGAAATTACATTTTTGAGATTAAAATCTTGGCCTAAGATTACAAGATGACTAACATTTTTCAAATTTCCCGTAAAATTTTGTCATAAAGGATTTCAATTATAGAACTATTGGCAGTCGAGAGAAAATTTTCAGCAGCATGCGGCGTATAAAGAAGCAAAAAGATGGCAACTCAGATCAGTGACGACCATGCATCAAAATCAATGAGTAGCAAGTTATAATTTAAGACAAGCAATATAAAGGATGATTATTCGACTTTTTTGAAATACATTAGTTGTGTTCAACAAAAAACGACTTATCAAAAATGAAGTAGAAATTCAGAACATTTTCCCTAAAAACTTCACAATATTTTTTAGTTTCAGAACAAATCACTCTATCGATGCATCTTTGTGGCACTGATTTCACGTGTAAAGTACAATAACGTTTTGAAAATAGCTTTTTGAATTGAGAGCATAATTGCAAAGCAATGCTACGCTCCAATTACTGCATAGAATTTATGTTAGGCATAAAATGTTGATGTTGACTATGATAAAAACTGCGACATAAATGATAATTTCAAAGACCTAAGAGTTTTTAAAAAAGGGTACAATCCATTCCTTCAGTATTATATGATAATTCAAAAAGCCTCATTCGACAAAATTAACTTCCGGTGACCATAATTTACGCAAGGAAACAAAGAAATTAAAAAGTAAGGACACAGTCTTTTTGACGCTAGAATTTTAAAATAACTTTAACTATGCTGCCAAACTTTCAAGTTTAAGAAAAAAAGACTTACATGCCTTTATGCCTTTAGCACTTTTTGAGTTTCTAGAAAAGTTTATGATTGATTACGAAAATTACTAAAAATTACGAAAATTGGATTGATTAAAATTACGAAAATTGGATTGATTAAAATTAAGAAAATAAAATTGATATTTTTTTTTTGTTAGAAACTAATGAAAATTACATTCCATATTCTATGAAGTCGATCACGTTCTAAAAAGTCAATCACAGAGAGAAGTCGATCACGTTTTTAAAGATTTTTGTTCCGACTTTCGATACGAAAGTAACGGAATATTTGTGCTCGGGGTGGGTTTTTTTTTTTCTTCAGACAAATTTCGACTTTTTAACTAGCCATTTTTGACGGAATTTTTTTATTTCATTCAAAAGGTATTGTTGTCCTGAGCTTAAATTTGAAAAGATATTTCACCTGTGATCATTTTTCGCAAAGTTATGAGGGTTTAAAGATTGCCATTTTGGCCATTTTGACCAATTTGGGACAATTAACGCTCAATATAATTCGCGCTATTAACGCGTAAGCGAGATTTAATCCGTCTTATAAATCGTTCCAAATTGGTTGAACGAAGCTTATTTGCCATAATTGATTTGTTACAAGGAACGAAATCTATCTTTTTGTAATTTATATGGCGTGTGGGAGGATAATTTTCATAAAAAAAATTTCAAATTTTAGAAAAAAAAATTTCATTTTATTTTATTTCATTTATTTTTTTTCTATGTATTACTGCTGCTCAATAAACCTTAAAAGGCAGTCGAAACATTCAGGGCTTCGCCCTGATATGAGCAGTCTTGTCTTAACTTTGCTGTTCTTTTGTGGAGTTTGCTTTTCCCTTGACAAACAAACTCAATTGAATTTTAAAAAGATGAAAAAAGAAACCGCAAAAAAAATTTGAGCTTGATTTTCCTTTTAAAAAATGAAACAAATTGTCAGTAACTAAATAAGAGTCCGAGCTAAGTTCCGAGCTAGAAAAGAGGAAATTATGAAAAAAAAAACTACTACTATTAAAGGATTTTTTGATTCGTTAAAAAGTGGATTTCACAGCAATCAACTATCCTTGTAAGGTAAACTTTATGTAATCAAAGCTTCCGTGTTTGGGTTCAATTATTTAGTGCACATTCAAGTTAAAAGTACTTTTTAACCTGCAGAGGTACAAAAACACTAACCAATGGGACAAAAAGACTGCAATTTAACGAAATTAAGGGGGCTGCCACCTCAGGAAATCGTTTGTTGTTACTATTTTAAGACCTCCATTTTTTAACTGTCTGGCGCACAAAATGTTCTAAAGGCATCCTAGGCCCCATTATATGCTTACTTAGATGGAGAGCGCGCGCCAAAAGAAGCAATTTTGTCAGATTTGTCCAAAAAGTGCTTAAAAACGCCTTTTTTGGCCGGTTTTTCAAATTTTCGCCACTGGCTCAAAAAATTTGCCAGGGACTGCTTAGTGATTGGGAAGAACTCCGAAAATCAATTTGGTTGACCTAACCAGATGGACAAAAAATTCGAAAATTTTCGGAGAATCTACTTCCTCCAGAAAACATTAAGTCCGCCCCCTGCATTTACGTACTTACTATTTTTATCTTCTTTAATGAGTGATCTTAGTTTAAGCCTAATAAATGATAGCAATAACCGGGGTTGACCTCCATACACCAAAATTGTTACGAAAACTTTTATCAGACAAAAAACAATTATCAAAAAACAATCCAAATAATAAACCAAAAAAGACAGAAAAAAAAGTCAGTGTTATTGAACTTCAAAAATTCTAATAGCAACGAAAATTGAATAATTTTTGAAAAAAAGTGTACCAGACAATTGCCATATATGCAAATTGTATGGTAGACATTATTTGATGGCGATAACAAAAAAATTTCCAAATATTGTTAAAAATGCCCCCAAAAAGGTTTTTTCAAAAAAAAAAAACAACTTTCGTACTCACAGAAAGCATTGCCAAAACAGTTGCATGAAAAAATATACTTCTATGAGTATAACGTAATCCTGTATACACACTTTTTGATTTTTTTCCCTTATTTTCCGAGTTACCTGATTTTGGAAGCAAGCCATAATTCCTTTACATCCTTCACGCCGCGCTCGAGACAACTTAAAAGGAAAGAGAATTCTGTAGAAATCAGCTTCTTCTTATATTTGTAGAAGAACTCCAAGAACACTAGATTAAAACAGGAAAGCGTAAGCTGAATGAAAAATTTATTCAATTTCTCAAGGCAAAAAGAAAGAAACTGGATTGACTTTTTAAAGTTATGAAGACAAATTTTGTTTGATTTCAGCTATAATCGTAATGATGCAAAGTCTTTGCTAAAAACAGGTCCGAAAACGCTTTTTTACCCACCGATAGGAGTCGTTAGTTTAGCCTTAAACAATGTCGTTGAGCACTTTATGACAACCAATATATTCAAAGTTTGTCGCAAATTCAAGCTGTATTTCTAAATCATTATTCAATCAAAGTATCGACCAAGAAACTAACCAGTTCTAGGCTAAAATTGCAACCAAAGTTTTACCGCAGAATCATTTCTGCCTTCTAATTTCGCCTCATACTAATTTTGGCATAAATCTCAGCACTGCTCTTTATCGTCATACATTTTTATATACGGTTATTTAACTAGAGAGAGCTGCCTTTAAATTTTCAGGTTGCATTCTTTTTGAGTGGATATTTTAAATCAGCACTTTAGGATATAGCTTTTTCGTATTTCGTTAACAATTTTCTCGCACAATTTTCCGTAAAAGCAAACACGTAGAAAGCGCTAGAAATTGAGTCTTTTGCTTCGTGCTTTGTATGCACTTTTCAGTCTCTACTTGTAATCTTCTGGTAAAACTTCCTAAAGTAGTAATTGCCATAGATACAAAGTAGAGCTTAGCACCACTTGCACTGCAGAATATTTGAATTTACCGATCCAAACAAAAGAAAAAGAAAGAAATCTTTTGGATTTTAAAAGAAATTCAAAACAGTGCTGTTTTTCCATTTTTAGAAAATTCTGCATTTTTAGAGGGTTCTGCGATGTTGATTCTGATTTTTATAGAACTGCTTCCAGAGCTTTAATCAATCTTAAAGGATTCCTAAAGCTATAAAAATTATATGAAGATCATTCACAGTAAAGAAGAAAAATAACAGTGCTGATTTGAATTATTCGGACAAAATTATCCTAAATGGAAATTCACAAATGGAAAATAATTTGAAATTCAAGAAAAAGTAGGCTTTTTCCACTCCTCCCACATTTAAAAATTTTCATTTTCTCATTTGTTATCATGGTTGAATGCATGATTGAAGGATGAAAGTTACGAAAACCAAATATGTTCAACAAAATTTATTTCTTTACCATGCAAAAAAGTTGACATGTTGTTACAACGTAAAATTGTTTTCAAAATTGAAAACCAAAAAAGGGGGGAGAAACAACCAAAACTTACCAAAACAACCAAAACTTAATAAAACAAAAAATGCTTTAAAATTCTTCAGAATTTATATCGTGCAGTTAAATTCACCCTCTTCAACTTTGCTGGGCTGCATAGCAGGCTCACTTATACGTAGTTACATCGACTGTACTTGTAGAAAGTTTCGCGTATTTTTTATTGACTAAGTGCAGCTGAAATTTGCACGTTTTTGAAGTAGATTTTCGGATGTCCCTTTTACAAAAAATTGCACCAGATCAATTCTGATCAAATTTGCAGATTTTATCTTTTTTTGTCCTACGTCAACCCAATTTGAGAAAAAGGCGTTTTAGATTTCAAAATTTTTCCAGTGTGTCCAGGTAATTGAAACCAGTAGCTGATTTAGGTTGGGATGCCCACAGCCCTCAGGAATTCGACTATTGGTACTTTTTAGGACTTCCAGTTCTTGACTGGCTGACGCTTAAAATGTTCTAATGGCATTCACAACCAAAATTATGGCGCTTCTCTTAAGCGCCAGTATATACTAATTCTAAGGGAGAGCACGCGCCGAAAAACGCATTTTTTTAAAGTTAAAACTGCCTAAAAACGCTTTTTGGTCTGTTTCTCAAAAATTTCTTTTTCAGTGCTTGGGGAGAGCTCAGAACATTAGTTTGGTCGACAAAATTTTTGATTTCTTTTTAAAATCCTTTATCAGCATGAAAATCTTAGATCCCCCTGTACACTAGCGCATTCACTATTTCAAACTTCTCTTGCGTATGAACTTCGTTCAAGCGGGGAAGAAGTTTAGCACCTGGTAGCAACAATCCGGGCTGACCTCAACACACCGATACATTTCCATACAAGAAAAAAAATTTTTCATTCAATTCCATACATCAAGTGTTTGGGAAAAAATGCTTATCATTTGATGTCCATATATGAAAACTGTGTGATAAGCATTTTTTCCGTAAACATTTCTGATTAAATCAATTATCGAAAAAAAGTCTAAGAATGAACCTAAAAAAGACAGACAAGCCAGTCAGTGTTAGTGAACTTCGAAAAGTTTTACGGCAACGAAGTCTGAAGTTTGTGGAAAAAAATTTATCATACCATTCCCAAATATCGAAATTGCACCAAAATTTTTTTCCGTGTGCATAACTATTCCTGGATACACAAATGTTGGATTTTTTTTCTTCTTGCAAGATAACTTTCATGAACACTATTTTTTTGGCATTTTTATTTATGCCTTGATCATGCCTGATTAATTAAAAATTCGAATTTTGTTACATCGTTTGTGTAAGACAATTCAGGCCGTTTCCAATGCATTGTAAATGCAAGACCTTCCAAATGTCAATGGTTCTAGCTTTTAGTAAACCAAGGTCTTTGTCACCAGTGTTCCGTTGCGAACTTAACCCAAAAGTTTTCAGAAATTAGAAAATCAAATTTTTTAATTTATAGAAAAATGCGAATCATACAACTTTCATATAAGCTTTTTCTGTAGAAAAAAGCTTAGCTTGAATAATTAACAACTTTTAGTTCGTATGGAATTGTACGGTAACCATTTTTTTATATATTGAAGCACCTTGTATGAAAATTTATATGGAAAACCAGCTTCCCTAAAAATTAGAAATTATCAGTTTCTTCAATTGTCCATCCTATTTTTTTTCGTTATTGCCAAAAAAACTCGATGTTGTCCAAAAAATATTGTTGTGCACTTAAATCAGGTGAAACCTAGAAAACAAACAAGACGATAGAACCATATTTCGCGTACCTATCTAATGTCAAGAAAAAGCTGTTTTTTGCAAGAAAAATTAATTAAGCTCTTTCGTCAGATAAGTCATAATTCAACCATAAATTTTAATTGTAAATTTTCACTCGGAAGTATATCGCAAAATATTACATAAAACACATCAAAGAGTTCGTTCAATATTAACGGTTGTATTTATTTCAATTTATCAAGTGGTTAGTCAAATTAAATCAAGATTCCTTGTAAATAGATCAACACCTTTTTCTAAAAATTCAGCGAAAGTGTAGCTTAAGTTCAAACTATTTCTTAAACAAAGTACATTGGATAACTTCTCAGCAGATTATCCGAGGCAGGAACTAAATGTTGATTCAGGTACTCGATTACTCTCGGATCCGCTCCTTCTGAATCTCCACTTCCCGAACTCTGTGCCGATTCGGATCCCGTGTACATCGACAACAGATGCGCCACGTGATGTCTCGCTCTCATGGCCGCATGGTGTGCATAGTACGTAGGAGGAGGGTAGCTAACAGCACGGGTACATCGGGCGTATAAGTGACAGAGAGCATAGGTGAAGCTTTGAAGGGTATCCGACTTGAACCCAGAGTCATCGTAGAGCACGTGATAGTGGGCGGGCCTGGATGTTCCTTTGATTCCTTCGTGTGAACAAAGGTAGAAATCGAACTGGAATGGGTGAACTATGTCGACGTCAACCACCGTTCCTGAAAAAAATAGCAATCCGCTCAATGATCAGAAAGAAACGTATTTTCTGCATACTTGTCTGTAATTACAAATCAGAAATAGTCCACATTGGATCTATTATCATCTTGAATTTTTTAATGAGTGCTCTCTATAAGACATTCAAAACTTGATGTTCTTCAAATTTGTTTTAACACAATAAAATTCCAAATCGGACTTATATTAAACTAGCGTATTACTCTAGCGTATTAAACTAGCGTATGACTCGTACCTCCGGAGCTTTAAATATATCGTTGAAAGTGAAAAAAGCTTCCTAAAATATATACCAAACAAACGATTTATAAAGCAATCGTTTAATTAAACTGCACTCATCCATCAGGTTTTTTCCATTTATTAAACAATTTACAAAATCATATTTTAGGTTATTTTTCACAAAAAAGGTCATTCTCTAAAACTAATGAGCTTCATCGGATATGTGAATTTCAATACAAAAAAGGACCAAAGAAGGTCGACATCATACATAGCAGCCTTTACAGGAATTTTAATGCAGGACTACTTATAATCATTGAAACCCTTTTTCGCCTAGGCATTTTAGGGCCCGTTAGATAGAATCGGGACGACTTATTAATTTACAATTAATGTTTCTTAAACAAAATCCTTCATGCCAAACGCGTCTACTGCTCCCGAAGAGTAAAATGGACTTACCTGGAGTCACGTTTATGATGCCATTTTGCCCGTTTTTCTGGCGACCCCAATTAAAAAACCTGGCCTTATGCCTTTTGTTCACAACTATGAATGTAATAGCGGGTGTGTATTCGCTGTTCAATTCTCTGCATGCCTGTTGCATTGCATGCAATTCCGCGATTAGAACTTCTGAGAATTGACCTTCGCTGACACCGTCTCTATAGTACAGAATTTTCTTCGGCGTGTGACCTCTGTTAACTTCTCTGAACTTCCTCAATAGATTCATGAACATCACTTTCATGCCCTCAATCATCTCCTGGCGTGACCTTTGAACTCTAATTTGGGCGCCATACCGTGTCAACGTGGAGTTCAAGCTACCGATGACTGCGGCGATCGAAGGTTTCCCATGATCTCCCGGATCAGGGTGAGTCACATCAGCGCCGAAAACCATAAAGGGTTCCTTGAAAATATCCGCATACTGTTTTGCAACTTCCTGGAAAACATCGCCATAATTCCCTGTTCGCTGAATAACTTGCATATAGTTCTCGAAAGATCTTACATTGATTCCCGCCATTTTTGTGTTGATTTTGAGCAAAATCTGATTTATTGACATCGGATTAGGCGGCTGTCCGGGACCTCGACCAGAGATTGTTCTCTGTAACAGCACTTGAGACGCAATCTGATGTTCATTGTCCAAAACATGTTTCGCCATCCCATATATGTCGGCGCTTTTCTTGAATAGTATGATGATCACCAAGTTGAAATTTTGTTGCTGCTTATGCATTTGAACAACTTCACTCAGTGTTCTATGAACTGTACCAATGTTTCTATCGTCAATGTTGAAGACCCTCACAGGACTATTGACCGGCCAATTCATCCCAGCTTTTCTAGCTTCTTGAGACATAGAACTGTCCATAGGTCCGATTTTCTCTTCCAATTTTCTTGGACATACAACTACGTATCCCATGAGACTAGTCGCCGGTTGTGCAAATCCAGGAGACCGATAGTTGCCACGGTCAGCAGGAACACTTCTGTTATTCCCACCATACATTATGGGTCCCGGTAGAACCCTGCCTTCAATTTCGGCCATTTGATCGCTCACGGCCAAATTGAATTGCTTGAAAATTCCACTACTGTTAGGTTTCGTTTCTTTGTTCAGTTTTTCCATTATCATCTGGTTTCTTCTGGAAGGATCCATAGCTGTTTCTCTCACCATTCTAGACTGCTGTTCTTCGTCCAGTTTTTTCAGCGAGGGCTGTTCGCCTTTCAATATGCACACTTCCATAGGGATACAGTTGTCTTTTTCTTTTGGTGTAATTCGAACTAAAGGGAGGTTTGGGTATTTAAGTTGAACGTTGTACTGGGACTTGAAATACTGTTCGACTGTTTGATTTAAATCTGGGATCTTTTTGTAGGCGTTTTCTTTGAAATCATGGATCTTTTTCGTGTATCCTAAATGAGTTGTCTTTATTTTATAGCCCGATAGGGCTTTTGTCAAGTTTTTCATTTGGTAAAAGTCCAGTTCTAACTCACCAGGATGACGCCGGAAAAAGTTAGACACATAATCAACCATAGGAGTTTCTTGAGTGAAACCTTTTGATGTTATGTCGATTTGCAAATATACTTTCCACTTTCCCATGATAACACTCGGTTGGTATCCGAACCAAAGGTCCAAACCTCCGGTTAGATCAATGGGCCTTCCAGTCGGTTTCTTAAACGTCGCCCTTTTCAACGTCACAAAATTAGCCATGCCCATACACAGTTGCTTGTAAGCTGTGTTCAGTACATTAAGCGCTTGCTGTGGTTTTTCAATGTCAACATTGCGGTTTCTGATGTATTCCAAAATCATTGATAAGTCCACGTTAGCCGCGAATTGAATTGTTATTTTAGCGTTGAATTTTCGTCCCGTTTCTTCGTTTAGAAATTCCATTTCAGTTTTCTTCGGCGGTAATTGTTCGGTTGTTATTTTGTGACACGAGTAGATGTTTTTCTGCCCATCAAACACAAACTTATCTTTCACATGTCCCAGTTTCATTTTCTCGATTAAAAACTGCTTGAAAATTGATCGTTTTCTGTCAGCCGACATTTTGGGCTCAATTTCTATGTCATAATGATAGCATTCGGGCAGATTTTCCATGCGCATTTCGAAATGATTGGTCAAAAGAGTGACCCTCTGTCCAAATGTCCCCCCATTGTCCGGCCGGCGGATGGGAGTCATACCATTTCCTCTGCTGCGACTTGTGCCATTTCCTCCACCGATATCTACTCTCTGAGCGAAATGCTGGAGTTCGCTTGGCGTTTCAAGGTCTTCTACTTCAATATTTTCATCACGCGGAGCGCTAAAAACAGTTAAATAAGCAGCGACTTATAGACAAGTCAATTTATTAGTAATCTAAAAATGTGGGATTCTACCACTTTCCTAGCCATACATTCAATTGCACATCTTTTTTAATTGCAAGATTTTCCACGCTTGTCACAAAAAAAGCACAAAAACTTGAGCGACGAGATAAATCACATTTCGTATTTTAAAAAAATATATATTCAAAAACTTAGAAAAAAATCTAATTCGATTACATTTTCAAATTATAAGAAAATTTATTGAACCTGTAGTTGCATGCTAATGGTGTGTATTTTAAGGTTGAAGTTCTATCGCTAAAACTTGACCTTCCAGAAACTCCTAGTTTAGGAGATATGGACGATTTTACGATTTAAAAAAAATCGAAAACTTAGAAAAAAATCTTATTTTAAATGTAGGTTTTTTTTTTCTTTTTTTACCGGCGGTTGCCTGCTTACGAAGGTACAATATAGGATTCTGATTAGAATGACAAACTTGATCGTCCAAGTGCTCGTAGCTTTGTAGATATGGATGAATTTACGAATTTTCAACAAATTCTAAAAACATTAAAAAAAAATCTTTTCCTGATAGTGGAAGAAGCATGCATAGCTAGGGTAGGCGTTTGTGGGCCATATGGCCCCGTTGTATATCCTCTGAGAGTCTCATTTTAATAATTACTTATAATAACGATGATTTGATAAATTTATGTAATGAGTGACCGGAGAAATTTATTCTTTCTTTCTAACCTATCAAAACTTATAGAAAGAATTATTCAATCTATTGCAATCCATTTGGTCTTAACAATCAATCTAAATGTTGGGATGTTTCTAACCTAGACGTTTGTGGGCGACTTGGTTGCTCGACCGGCACTACAGCTGGACCAACTTCTTCATTCGGTCTCTGTGAACTACTTTCCACCCATTGGGCTCCTGCTGCTGAGCTCCCCGGAACAGTTTGACCAGAAGCCCCCTGTGGACCTGGTTGCCCCGAAAATTCCGAAGAACCAGGTTCCAGGGCCTCGCGAGCATCGCCACCTTTTTTGTTTTTCTTGCCACGACCTCGGCCACGCCCAACCGACTGGTCTGCAGATACTGCTGCCTGTTGCTGAGTGGCACTTGCTGACGGTTGTCTCAGTTCAACAGGATCACCGAAAGTCAACCCTTGAGGTTGTTGCTGCTGATAGGGCACCTTAAAAGAAAGATCGCAAAATCATTCGTGAATAAAAGCGAATAACAATTAAGATAGCCGGTTGCTTTGCAAGCAGCACAGGATGTCCCGACCATATTCTAAAAAATTACATAAAAAGTTTTTTCGTTTTTTTTTAAAATTAGTATTTTTTGCGAGTCAATTTTAGGCATATTCGACAGTCAAAATAAAATAGTCAAATTGAGAAGCAGTTTTAGTGGAAAAAGGACAAGAAACAAAACCAAAACAAACTTCAAAAAAAAATAATTTAATAAGTAATTTATCTTTTTTGCAGAAATTATTTTGAGCTTTTTTATTCCAAAAAACCTCCATAAAATATTTTCATTGGAATAAAGCTAAAATTTCAAGGCGTATCCTTCCATAATAAGCCTGCTCGCTGGCTTTGCTCGAAATTAGACTTAACTCGAACAAGTTCCAAACCGGTTTTTCTCGACACTGGGACAACTTTAAAAAAACTTATGTCGTTCGAATCCAGACTAAAAGAGCTTTAATATGATAAATCACTCACACTCTCCGATGATTATTTGTAATACCTAAACTTGCAAGAAAAAAAAAGAGAAAACGAAAACACGCCCGAATACAAAGTTCCTCGAAAAAAAAGAGAAAACGAAAACACACCCGAATACAAAGTTCCTCCCAAAAAAGCCTTTAGTGACATCCCGGAAAAAGAACCCATTAACGTGACCACAATAAGAGACCAATTTTACTGCCATCAGAAAAAAGCAATAATTGCAAGCGACAGTACTATAATTCTCGATTTTTGCAGCAAAAACTGATGCCGAAATACATTAAATGCTGAAACAAAAGCAGTTTAGTTGTCTCATTGGGCTCCGTTTATGACACTTCATCATGAAACTCAAACTAAATGATTTTTTGAAGTAACAAGTATACTAAATACTGGTTTTCACTTCACCGACCTGTTGAGCTGCAGCCGGATGACCTTGGCCAGAAGTGTCTCTGCCGCCCCACGCACCACCACTACTTCCAGCACCACCTCCACCGGTGCCACCACTTCTCCCCCAAGCTGATCCCGGCGGCTGGCTTTGGACAGGTGGTGGAGTCTGCGTTGGCTGTACGTAGGGAGGCTGAGTACGTTGTGCTCCGGGATAGTCTTGAGTTTGCTGCTGCGGGAAGCCATGAGAGGCTTGAAAATGACAAATAGTCCAAAACTTAAACTTCAAATTACTTTCCGTATTTTTAATAAAACTTTCTCTATCGAAAAAACTCTCACGTTGAACATGTCTTCTCTGTTGCATCTTACATGTCTCCATATTATATTCTCAGTTGATAATTAGTAATAGCGCATAATGATTAGCGCTCAGTATTAGCCAATCAGCAGTCTCCTTGTACAGTATCTGCTTCAAAGCTTCAAGTTCAAATCATAACCTAAGCGTTGAGACTGATGATTTGCTAATATTGAATTTCTAGTTAAACTCATGCCCTGTTCAGCGAAAAGGATGAGGACATACAAAAAATGATCATAACAGAAGTATGAACTATTTCACGAACTACACTTACCCTGTTGCTGTTGCGGTTGATATGGTTGCTGTTGGTTCTGATTGAACCCTGGGTTCTGTTGATTGCCCTCATTTTGACCCCTTCCTCTGCCCCCACCTCGCCCCCGGTTGCCTCGTCCCTGGTTGGGGTTATTATAGTTTTGTTGACCCTGGTTCTGCTGAGCTCCACCTCCTCTATTCTGGTTGTAATTTTGGTCCCCACCTCGACCTCCGCCTCTTCCCCCACCGCGGTTTTGATTTTGACCTCCACCTCCTAAGAGCACGATAAATATTCATCACTTCTGATTTCACAAGGCGCAAATTTTTGACACAGAGCGAAGGCTTACTTACAAACAAATACCTTGGCCAGAAGCAACTTCATTAATTTAAAAAAACGGCGGAAACTATGGGATTCGAAGCTCGCCGTAACCACTACTCTTCTCATGCATACTATATTCTTAGATACCAGGAAGTCAGAAAATGTGAGTCCTTAAAGCGGAGATTCAAAGAAATTAATCAGTGATACAGTCTCTTTGAAAATTTGGTCAAGGCGGATTAGCAAGCTCCTTAAAACTCAAACAAGTTTTAAAACACTTGAAATGATGCACGTTGCTTTCTTTCAAAAGTTGGGACATGTTTATGAAATTTCATGATCGCTTTCTGTGACCAGTTTCATTATTTTGCTCTTTCTAAAATCCTTTGCATTGCTCCTTTAAAAAAAAAACAATTTTGAAAAACGGTTTCAATTTCAAGGCCACACAAATTTTAATGGTCAATAAGACTAACTAGGATAAACACTTGAGACAAAAGAGAGAGAAATACTTTATTGTTGCATCAATTTTTTTGAGTTAATGCCGCTTATGCATGGGGGTTGCCTACAACCTGAGCAATCAATTGAACCCTTAATCCCAAATCTGGACGGGTAGTTTTTGTGGAAATCGAAAAAGTCCGAAAAAATGGACCAGAAAGTAAAAAAAGTGACTTTTATTAAGTCTATAGCCCTTCCCCTAGGCAAATTAGGGACCAACCGCTTGTACAGGGGAATTTCTTACAACATATTCTGTCGAATAAACCTTTAATCCCAAATCTGGACGGGTAGTTTTTGTGGAAATCGTAAAAGTCCAAAAAAATGGACCAAAAAGTCAAAAGGTGACTTTTATTAAGTCTATAGCTCTTCCCCTAGGCAAATTAGGGACCAACCGCTTCTGCAGTGGAATTTCTTACAACTTTTTGAGTAGAATAAACCCTTAATCCCAAATCTGGACGGGTAGTTTTTGAGGAAATCGAAAAAGTCCGAAAAAATGAACCAAAAAGTCAAAAAAGTTACTTTCATTAAGTCTATAGCCCTTCCCCTAGGCAAATTAGGGACCAACCGCTTGTGCAGGGGAATTTCTTACAACATATTCTGTCGAATAAACCTTTAATCCCAAATCTGGACGGGTAGTTTTTGTAGAAATCGTAAAAGTCCGAAAAAATGGACCAAAAAGTCAAAAAAGTGACTTTTATTAATTCTATAGCCCTTCCCCTATGCAAATTAGGGACCAACCGCTTGTGCAGGGGAATTTCTTACAACCTGTTCTGTCGAATAAACCCTTAATTCCAAATCTTGACGGGTAGTTTTTGAGGAAATCGAAAAAGTCCGAAAAAAAACAAGCAAAAAGTGAAAAAAGTGCCGAGTTGTGAGGCTTTTCTAAGACCTTAGGGAGCGGTTTAAGGTACGATTCGCCCTAGGGTTTATGCAGGCAGTTAGGTGAAAAGGTAATAAATCCATTGGTACCCCATTTGTGAAAATCGCACGGGTAGTTTTTCGGGAAAGCGAATTTTCTATAAAAGCGTCTCAAAAAAAATAATAAAAAAACCCGATCTCATCCTGCAAAAAAAAACGTTTTCATAATACCTGTTTAATAAATCAAACAGGAATTTATTATGATTTCAAAAAAGTTTCATCAGTCACTGAATATACTAGTACTCTCCTTAGTAAGTCTAAAAGATATTGGTGTAATTGGGTATCGAAAAAACGTTATCAGTATATATCCTCTTTTATGTATTGGAGTCTATCCTTTATTATGCATTATTTAATCTATTGTTTGCCGGCGTACAGGTTTCTTCATGGTAGATGATTTTGTGAACTACCATGTTAAATCTTTTCATTGATTTAAGTAAGATTGGTCTAAGAAGAACTTCAGTTTCACTCAACCTAGGCAGGAGAAGCAAGCCGGTGTAATGATTATAGCGGAAACTTTGGAAATAGCAAAATTTCAAAAGCTGTTTTGGCATGATTTATGAAGACATTCAGTTAATCTGTAGTTGATTATATCTCTAGGAGTAGATTCTGTTTTTCTCTCACATGTGTGACAAATTTGTTTTCATGTTCACGACAATCCGTATTCCCCATTTTACTTGCTTTTACCAGCTTCTAAATTTTCATGAGTACAAATATTCAACAGCATATATGGATAGTGTAAATGACATACATGGCTAGTGAAAAATAGCGAACTGTTTCACGAGCGGGGACATGAGCGGAGAGTATCAAAGCTATGGATTCCAGCCAAACTTCTCAGACAAAGATACAAAGAGGTAACCACTAAGAAAATGGTTCAGGTAGTTATTATTTTTTCAAAATCAGAGGCTGAAAAAAATAAAATTTGAATTTTTGTTGTTAAATGAGCAAAAAAACTTTCAGCACCCCTTCAAATGAACTTCTTAGGTATAGCAGTTGAAGCTGAAGTTCTTCGCTCCTAGAGCAGCGCAATTTACGACGAATAAGGACATAACAGACATTTAACGACGAATTGAGCTAAATGAAAAATATCACAAATTTAGATTTACAAATTTAACAATTACAAGTTAAATACGTCTGTTGGAGGAGAGATCTGCGGGAAGTCGAAATAGAATCAGGACAAAAAACCTTTGTAACGAAAAAAAACCTTAACAAGTTGAAATACCCACGCTAATCGCATTAGTAAAAAAACTCATTCATGCTTATATACAGAAGCGGATTTAGGGGGGGGAGCGGACGCCTCTCCCCCCTCAGGAATTTGACCCCCTGCCGACCCAAAGGGTCCCCCCTTTGAACTATTTTGAGATATCCATTTATGGCTGACGGACCCCTAAATTTTTCTAAAGGCGCCTGTGGCGCCAATAAATAATAATTTTGAGGGGAGAGCGCGCGCCGAAAAAGCGCGATTTTTTCGTCAAAACTTTTTTAAAGTGCCTAAAAACGTCTTTTTTTTTACCTTTTTTCAAAAATTTACCTGCGGCGCAGAAAATTTGGTCTAATTATGGTCTTTATAGTGGTTTGGGGGTTACATGTCAGTATTTAGACAACCTCGTATTCAGACTGGTCAGTATTTAGACAAATGCTGTTTCAACCAATCAGAATCGAGACAAAGAATAAATTAATAAATAATTATTATTTATTTTGGATTATTTATGTTTTTTCTCGATTCTGATTGGTTCATACAGTATTTGTCTAAATACTGACCAGTATGAATACGCGGCTGTCTAAATACTGGCTGCACTCCTGGTTTGGGAGAGCTCAGAAAACCAAATTGGTCGACCTAAAAAAAAGGTCGACAAAATTTTTGAAAAATTTTTTGAAAATCCTAGATCCGCCCCTGCTTATGTAAAGGACTTCCTGTTTTTTTTTTAAATCGTTTGTTTACTTTTATACTATAACTCTTATATAGTATAATAATACTTAGTTATACGACTGTGATAGTTCTACAAATTTGCTGATCAATATCTTTAATTTTTGTTTTCTCCCAAAGTCTGGGCATATTTCTCCTCGCGATTGCTTTCTTTGACTGGATTTCAGTTCTTTTCTCGCATTTTTGAAAAATTTTGTTTGAGTTTTAAGGTCATTCAAAGTCATAAGACTCCGACCAAGACTTCAACGCCTGCTTTTGGCTGCCCACAAAACCACGGGTTCAGATGTTTGTTTTTTTTGGACCACGATAACATCCTTCCCCCAAATACGTTTAGGGGGAGGATGTTAACTTGGTTCTGAGTTCGATTTTTCAGCCGACCAGAATAGAGCATTTTATACGCAGCACGCAAATTTAATTTAATATCTTCACTTGGGACTTTAAAAAAACTTATGGTGAAAAAAGATCGTCAATTGATTCATAATTGACAAAATGGAGAAACCAATTCAGTTAATTGACAACATGATCAATGAAAAATCAGAGAAGTTCCGTTTAACTCAAACATTAAAACCATAAAATATTCTGTTCTATAAAGTCGAACGTTGCTAAATTCAGATCGATGAATCATCAATGGAAAAAAGTAACAGAGGACTATTTATTGAAGAGAGATGGGTTTTTTGGTGACATAGTATTTCAAACTCACATGGGTTTTCCAGTTTTTGTTGAGCAAGTAACACTACATTCTAAAATTCAACAATACTTAAGGCCTGGATCGATCATTCACTTTGACGAATGACCTTTTTCAAAAATTCAGCAATGCATAGGTCGGGGTTTTGGGGGCATAATAGTTTTTAAACACTGCGGGTCCTTAAAACTGCGGAAAGAGGTACTGCATTCTTTTTTAGCAGTAAGATGGCGTGACGATCATACATGCTTTTACTAGGGACCGAAATATCGGGTTCTGGGTAAACAAGACGATACGACATTAAGACGACATGACATTGAGAGGACAAATGAGCATTAAATCTTAAATTCGAACGTTTTATTTAAAACGGAATGTTCGAATTTAGCGGTTTATTATTCTCACAAGCGTCATCTTTAAGTCCCATCAAAAAAAGTTGTTGTCTTAACAGCTGTCATCTCATGTCCCGACATCGGAACAACCGTACAGTTTCGCCCTTAATCGATTTAGGGGGATAAAATACTGGTGTTTCATATATCAACTTTGAGGGCAAACTAAAAATTCATTCAAAAATAACTATGAATAAAAATTTGATTAATTAACAGTATAAATAGGTAAATAAGTTAGTTTTCTCAAGCAGTCTATTCTGCGCTTTTGATTGAAATGAAAATTTTATACGAAATCAATTTTCAAAATTAATACGTGGCTAGGGGGGAGATTCTACGGTAGGTCACTTAGGGGAGGGGGGGGGGGGGGGGGGGGGGTGGTTAGATTGTACGGTTGATCCCCGACACCCAGCAATCATTCTAAACCTGAGAATCTACAATTCGTTTAATGACATTTGTAAACTTCAACCAGTAGCGGATTTCGGCGCCAATCTATACTAATTTTGAGGGGGGAGCGCGCGCCAAAAAACGCGATTTTTTGGTCGAAATTTTCCAAGTG